CTGGGCCTCTTCCATCCTCCTCCATGTCCTACACTCTGGGGTATCCTGCAACAAGAGTGTGGTCATTCAGGTGCTGTATGGCTGTCATGGGCCAACTTCCTTCCTTGGGCAACTCCCTTAGTTGAATGCCCACAATCCATCCACTAATGAGCTGCATCTCTGCCCCTGCATGCACACAGCAAGGAGGGGCACAGCCTTGCAGCAAATATTTTCTTCCTCTTACTGCATTGGTTGCTGTGCTGCCCTTATGTTGAGTGCATGGTTACTAGGGGAGATACAGTAGTGCCAGTTTTTCCAGGGCACCCTAAAGGACAGGCCTTTGGTCCGCCAGCAAGGCTCCTGTGCAAGTAAGAACCTCTATACCTAGTCCTAGGCTAAACTCTCAGGGCTTCCAGTAGGGGAGCAAATTACTATGGAGAATGACCTGGCTTTCCCAAATTTTTTCCCTTGCAATAGTTGATTGATGCTGCATGACCTGACCACTCCAAGCTGAAGGGTAGCAATTGCATGCACCGTCCAGAGAAGCATCATCCAGCATCATGAGTCAAAAGCGTCCAGCAAGTGATAGTGGAGTACCTAGCAGTATTAGTACTACTAGCAGTAAGAAAACCAGGAAAACCATTAGTTTAGATACTAAATTAGACGTTTTAAGGTGTCTTGATGAAGGCGAGCGTGCGGTAGACATTGGCATTGCTCTAGGTCTTACTCCGACCACTGTGAGAACAATTCGGCGTAATGCTGACAAGATCAGGGCTAGTGCTCGGTGGGTCACACCACTTAGTGCTACTACAATAAGTCAATCAAGAAGCAGTTTGCTGGAAAACATGGAGCGTCTTCTCTCAGTGTGGATAGAAGACCAAAACCAGCGGAACGTACCTCTAAGTTTGCTAGTGATACAAGCTAAGGCAAAAAGTTTGTATGATAATTTGAAGATAGACCAAGGTGAAGGATCGCAGACAGAGACTTTCACAGCAAGTCAGGGATGGTTTGATCAGTTTAAGAAACGCTACCACCTGCATAACATCAAGATGTCTGATGAGGCAACTAGTGCTGATATTGCAGCAGCTAAAATATTCTCTCACTACCTCAAGAAAATAATTGCGGAAGGTGGCTATACCCCTAAACAGGTCTTCAATGTTGATGAAACGGGTCTCTACTGGAAGAGGATGCCTGAGCAGACTTACATTTCTCAAGAAGAGAAGACAGCACCTGGATTTAAAGCAGCTAAAGACCGCCTAACCTTGCTTCTAGGTGGTAATGCCGCTGGAGACATGAAGATGAAACCACTGGCAGTGTACCAATCTGAAACACCACGTGCTCTAAAGGGATTTTCAAAGGAACACCTTCCAGTCATTTGGAGATCTAATAAAAAGGCATGGATAACTGGAGCTATTTTTTCAGAATGGCTCACTCTGTATGCTATTCCTGCATGGAAAGAATATTGTTCCAAGGAAAATCTTGATTTCAAGATTTTATTGCTTATTGATAATGCACCAGCTCATCCAATTAACCTAGATGACATGTGCAAAAAAGTGAAAGTTGTCTTTCTGCCACATAACATGACATCACTCATTCAACCCATGGACCAAGGAGCCATCTCTGCATTTAAGGCATATTACTTACGCCATATTTTCGACCAACTCATCAGAGGCACTGAAGGGGAAGGCAAACCTACAATTAGGCAATTTTGGCATGACTACAATATTCTGAAGTGCATCAATAACATTGGTAAGGCCTGGGCTGATGTTACTCAGGCATGCATGAATGGTGTGTGGGCGAAGTTGTGGCCTGAATGTGTCAATGACTTAAAAGGATTCAAAGATATTATCCCTGCTATAAAGAAAGATATCCTTGGCTTGGCCAAGAAAGCAGGTTTTGATGAAGTGGAAGAAGACGATGTTACACAACTTCTGCAATCACATGGAGAGGAGCTAACCAATGAAGAACTGATGCAATTAGAGGCGATGAGAGCAATGGAAGAAAAGGACCAAGAAGTAAAAGTAGAAACAACCCATCAAAATTTAACTGCTAAACGTCTTTCTGAAGCTTTCCAAATGATTGAAGCTGGCTTGCAAATCCTCAATGATGACGATCCTGACAGGGAACGCAGCTCCAAAGTGATTAAGGGAGTTGGTCATCTAATGACTTGCTATAAAGAAATTTACCAAGAAAAAAAAAGAAAGGAAAACAGCAATTTCTAGAAAGGTAAGCAAGAACAGCAAGGAGAGCAGCCAGATGATGCACCTTCTTACTCAACCATCTGAACCAAACTTCACAGTTATCATTGCTGAGTATAGTATTACATTGTTAGTTTAAAACTCTTTACAATTTATACTTGTATTAAATTGCTTCTTTAAAATTGTTTAAAACATATACTATTTATGTATATAATGCTTTTTGTCTGGCAAAAAAAATTCCTTAGAATCTAACCTCCATTTACATTCATTCTTACGGGAAAATTGAATTAGTTTAACATTGTTTTGCTGAAAATCACATTTTTCAGGAACGTAACTACAATGTTAAGTGAGGAGTTACTGTATTCTATGACATCATCTTCATGCATTGCTCCACCTGTGCTGGAAAGAAGGTGAAGTAGAAGTGAGAGATGCTGACATCACTCACCACTCTATAAAAACAAGGGTGACAGCAGTGACCGGAACGACTATTGTGGCATTTCCCTTCTTAGTATTATGGGAACAGCCTTTGCTCAAGTTGTCCTGACCAGACTTCAGATTCTTGCAGCAGAATCTGTCTCAAATCACAATGTAGCTTTAGAGCAGAAAGTCTACCTTCATCATTATCTGCTCACAGAGACCTCTACAAGAGAAATGCAGAGAACAAAAGAAACTCCTCTACATAGCCTCCTCACAAAGGCTTTTGACCCTGTCTCTCAGTTACAGCCCTGTGTGGATACAAAAATTTGGGTCTGCATCTGGTCTGTGAACTGCAAAGATGGCAAAGCATCAGTAGAAGTGGACTATTCATGCATCTAAAACAGATTGGACGTCCACCCAAACTCTTAAGCATTTGAGTCTTCCAAGAAAACATGAACAGCACAGTCCAATATGACAGCTCAGTCTCTGAGGCTTTTCAGATTTGTAGCAGAGTTAAGCAAGGTTGTGTACTTGCCTCAACTCTATTTGGGGTTTTCTTTTTCTGGCTACTGATACAAACTTTTGGTTCCTCACCCGAGAGAATCTACTGCACACAAGATCTGGTGGAAAGCTGTTCAATCTTGCAAGACTCTGATCTAAAACCAAGACTTGGAAGGCACCTATCCAACACTTCCTATTTGCTGATGATGCAGCAGTGAACTCATAAAGAAGCAAGTCTCCAAAACCTTATGGACAGTTTTTCCAGAGGCTGTCAAGACTTCAGGTTTACTGTAAGTCTAAAAATGACTAAAATAATGTGCCATAGAGGTGGGGAAGCACCCTTCATCATGATCATTCACTATGTACTTGCAGTACTGAATGAGTTCTCATAACTGGGTTCCACTATCACAGATAACCTTTTACTTGAAAAAGAACTCAACATCTGCATTGGAAAAGCCACCATAATAGTGCCTAGATTGAGCAAGAGGATATAGCAAAACAACAAACTGAATGAACACACAAAGATCTGCGTGTATCACGCATATGTTAGCAAGGTGTTTTTGTATAGGAGTGGTATATGGATCTTATACTCCCATCAGGAAAAGAGGCCCACGAGCTTTCATATGCATTGCTTTCCTTAAATCTTTGTAATCTTTTGGATTGACAGTCATCAACACTGAGGGTACATCTACAAAGCGCAGGTATTTCAAAATAAATGACGTTATTTCGAAATAATCTGAGTGTCTACACAGCAATTCTGTTATTTTGATAATTGAAATAATGGACGATTTATTTCTAAATTGTAAACCTCATTCCACAAGGAATAGCGATTATTATGAAATAGCTATTTTGGAATAGCAGTAAGTGTCCACTACTGTTATTTTGAAATAGTTCCTTCCTGGGGCCATTCAAAGTAATTAGTCCCCAGTGCCTCCCGGGACTCTAAATTGAAGTAACATGTCCACATTAGGGAAGCCTAACTCGGACTTATATTGAGGCTTCCTTGTACTGTAGATGTGCTATTTCAAAATAAGCTTTTTTGGAAAAACAATTCCAAAATAGCTTATTTCAAAATAAGCATGCTGTGTAAAGATACCCTGAGGTACTCAAGTGGACATCCTCATAACCAGCATACAAACACTCCTCAAGCAGAGATACCTCCGCTGTCTTGAGCATTAGTGCCAAATGAATGATAGGCGCACCCCAAAGGACATCCTGTACGGTGAATTGGCATCTGGAAAAAGACCCAAAGAATTCCCAAAATTGCATTTCAAAGATGTGTGCAAGTGAGGCCTCATAGAAATTAGGGATGTCTGTGTGTAGTCATTTACATGATTAAATGATAAGACACACCTAACGACTAGACACACCCTCCCATTGCTGCTTCTATACCAGAGGCAGCAAGGGATGGAGCCGGTGCCCGTGGGGAGCTGGCTTTTAAGCTGATTCCCCATATGTGCCAGTTCCGTGAAGCTGCCTGTCCTTCCCCCTCCCAATGCTGCTGGAGGGGCACATGGGAGGCAATATGCATAGGGATCTGGTTTTTAAGATGGTTCTCCATGTGTGCCAGCTCCTTGCTGCTCCCCTCTCCCCCGCCCCCCGGCTGCTTCCCACAGAGCAAGGGTGAAATTTCTGGAGGGAAGGGGGCAGCAGCCTTGCACTCTGGGACGCAGCTTTCTTTTCATCCCGTTTCCCGGACACCAAGGGAGTGAGGGGAAAGTACTTGCATTCTGTGAATGCCTCTTACACCTGGCTGGAGAGTTCCCTTCAACTACCAGGTGTGAGGGGCTTGCACAGCATGCAAGCATTTTCCCTCACTCCCTTAGTTTCCAGGGAATGGGACAAAAAGCGAGCTGCCCCCCCACCACCCTCCCGAAATTCTGCCCTTGCCACAGAGGTAGCAGCACAGGGGTGGGGCAGGCGGGAACTGGTGCTCCGTGGGAGGTGGGTTAAAAGCTGGCTCCCTATGAGCACCGGCTCCCGTAGAGCCCTCTGATAGAGAGGTAGCATTGTGGGGGATGGGAGGGACAAGCGAGAACTGGTGCTCTCTGGGAGCTGGCTTAAAAGCTGGCTCTCCTCAAGCACCAGCTCCCATCTATCCCTCCCCTCATGTAAATGTGTAACCACTAAAAATTCCAGTAGTTACGTTTACACAAATACACGTTAGCTAACAACTATAATGGAAATGGACATGGAAGTGAACGTCAAATGGGAAAATCAAAACCACAGTCTTTGGAAACAAAAACTTAAATGTCTCGCAATTTTGAGAAGAAGCAGTCTGGCTTAGAGGCAAAACGAGCTCACAGAAGGAATCGCTCAAAGGGTCAAAACATCATCTTTAAATGCAACAGAAACAGCAGAGATTTTCTCTTGAGTGGGTCTCTTCAGCCACATTCACGGCTGCCATAAAACCAATTGAATAATTCTTTACCTCTCAGGGGTGCATACCCATGGTCTTTTGAGACTGAAGGATACCTACAAGTACCCTAACTCACAGTTACAGCCCCATGGATACAAAAACCTGGATCTGCATCTGATGTGCAATCCACAAAGATGGTAAACAATACATCTGCATTCACAGAGACAGATCTCCATGGATGTAAAGGAGTCCTGCAGATACTTGGAGATACCTATATGTTTCCAAGACTTGAGGAAGAGCTCTGTATAAATTCAAAAGCTTGTTTTTCTCTCCAACAGAAATTGATCCAATAAAAAATATTACCTCACCCAACTTGTGTGTCTAAAATCCTGGGACCAATATGGCAACAACCCTGCAAACCATTTTAGGCTTTGGACAGTATGCTCTGAGTTATGGAAGGACAAAGTAGCTCTAGATTAGCAGAGAGATAGAGAGTACAACTATGTAAAACCCTAGTTTCAGTTCAGAATATGAACTAAAATATTTTAAGTATACAAACTTACCTGTAACCGTTGCATAAAAGCCTCAGCTTTCCTCAGGGAGATGACTTACATATACACACACCATTAAAAGACATTATTAAGATTATAAATGACAATTAAAACTGACTGACCAAATTAAGCATGCACAATCTCAGTCTTTCTAGCTTCTTGCCTCAATTTCATTGTTAATCCCAGCCAAATAAATCTGTTCTGCACCTTAGCTCTTTGTCAGATTTATCTTCTCTCACAGGGTCCTAGTCTCCTAGCCTAGCCAGTAATCCCTCCCTGCAGTTCCTTATCCAATCTCAGTGTTTCCTTCCACCAACCTACTGGCGCTCTGTCCCCTGCTTCCCTCACCAGCTACCAGTCCCAGACTCTGAACCAAGTTCCAATTAAGTGTCCATGCCTCTTCAGACCCAGTTAGTTTGTCCCTCTCCTCCCCCACCACCACCATAGTCCCAATCACTCAAACTCCTTAGCCTGATCTACTCCTTTTCCCTCTCCCCTTTATTTGAATTAGAGAGATTCCTCCTCTATGCTACCTGGGTTCCAGCAGGGGTGAAATACTCAGCCCCCTTTATCTCTCCCCCCTGATCTGGTGCAGCCACTACAGGGAAAGTCCAATTTCATCTCTAGAAGAAGCATGCTTGGTCATACTGTGAGAGTGGCACATGCACACATAGGATCTCTGTAGTGATGGAGCATTTCATTTGCAATCTCAACAGCCGTGGCAGCTGTGAAAGGCATGAGTATGCTCAGTGAGTGCAGAATCTTTAGAGATTTTAGAAGCTAAAATGGAAGATGTCTCTACTGAGAATATGGAATTGTGACTGTCTAATCGCTTATAACTTGATCAAACTTGGGCAGTCACAATTCTCATGGACATGGCAAAATGCATGTCCCTGATACAAAGGCAACCCACATGCCAAATTTTAAGTCTGTGCTCCAAAACAATGTAGGGGATAGAGCTATTCAAAGAAAAACTTGTCAAAACTTATTTCACATGGACAAAACAATGTATTTTTCCCTAGTTTTGTTCTTAGAAATGATTGAAATGTTTTGGCTGAAATTTTCTAGACTGAGGCAGAGACAAGGCATGTAAATTTAATTCAGAATGGCCAAAGTTTGGCAAAGTAATAATCAGCTGAAAACAGGGTCTTATAGTGGAACAGGTTAGTAATCTCTTAGATGGTACTAACAGCCCTGCCTATAATAATATCTAGAATGAGTTTAAAACAAGAGAGTGACAGAGTCGCTGCGCCCCTAGGAAGAGAAGGGGGAGCTTGGCTCCATGCTCCTAGAAGGGGCAGATCGTGGCCACCATCCCTCAGCACCCCGCTTCCCTTAGCACCATCCAAAGCCT